ACACAAACTATACCATCTTTTCCTAAACTGTTTGGCAAAACAGCGGGAGAGCAAAAACAGGGAAATGGCCAGCGGTTCAAATGCGGACAAACCACAATTCTTTTTTTCCAGGTCAAAATTAGAATCCAGATGTGTCAAAGTGGGGGTGCCTCAGATTGACAAGAGGAAAAACATAACAGTATTTACAGGAATTCTAGAGAAACCAGAAGAGAAAAAACTGTGTGGGAGGGATGCTTGTGCAGACAACACTACAAGCCATGGTGCCTTTTTTCCTGGTATATTCAGTATGTGATAGCTGTGAAAAAAGTGAACTCCATGCTCGACATAAGGGAAGGAATTGAACATAAAAATACCAATATCATGTAAATCTACAGTGCAACCACACTTGGAACATTCTGTACAGTTCGGGTCACCAAACCTAGGCAAAAGTACAGAAAAAGGCAACGAAGAGGATCAAGGGGCTGGGGCAGCTCCCTTATCAAGAAAGGTTACAACATCTGGAATTCTTAGCTTGGAAAAAGGATGAGCACTGGAGACATGACAGAGCTGTACTAAATTACTCACGGTGGGCAGAAAATGGATGGGGGATTTTTCCCCTTCTTCAGTACTAGAACCCAGGATCATCTCATGAACCTGGTTGGTGTGAGATTCAGGACAGATGAAATACTACCTATATAACACATAGGTAAACTACGCAGTTGAACAAGATGTAGAGATGGCCATGATTGTTTAAAAGGGGATTGGGCAAATTCCTGGAGAAGGAGAAGAGGTGGCCTGGCCCAGCTGGTGCCTAACAGGTGGCAAGCATGTGGATCTTTTGGGAGGCTCAGGGATGCCAGTAGATTAGTGAGCTTTGCCAGCTCGAGTATGGCACCTGCCCTGGTCCTCAATCAAGGCAGATCCCTATTGCAATGAGCCTTAATTATACCTAACATGGAATTCGCCTTTTTCACAGCAGCTGCACGCTGGGTCAGGATCTTCATCGAACTGCCCTGACCTCCAAGATCTCAGTCACTGGTGGCCCAGATCCCATCGACAGACACATGAAGTTGGGGCGTTTGTTGGTTCCAGGCTACCTCCAGCATCAGAGGAAGCATGCCTGTGCGTAGCACTTGCTGGGAAATACAGGCAGGGGGAGTTGCTGCACTCATGTCTCCTTGCAGCCTTCCAGCGTGCAGCGAGCTGGCTATTATAGGAACAAAAGTCTAAAAGAGAAGGACCTTTGGTCTCATCCAGCATGGCTGTTCTTATATTCTTATATAGCAATATCACAAGGAGATAATTCCACCGCTTCTCTGGATGTCTAATGAGATACAGGCACATGCTCAAGTTCTTGCCAGGAGACAGAGTAACGGAGGCAGTGAATATTCCAAGTGGTTGTGTGCGCATCAGCATTGAGTTTCCAGTTAATAAATGTCCATTCATAGCCGTTCCTAGTTTCAGCAGAAACCAAAAAATAATGGCCCCTTTCTTCTTTAAGACAGCATGCAAAGTCTGACATGCATTCCTTACCAGTGCATGCAGATTTTGACCTACATGCAGCTGCCCTGCTTAGAGGAAACAGTCCCTAGATCAGAGTTGGGACAGACCTCAACAACCTATTTCCTGATCCACAGAAGCAGGTAATAGCAGTTCTTCCTTGCTCACTGAGATCAGAAGCCCTGCTTATGAAAATGACCACTAAGCCATGGGTTGTGCCCCTAGGTAACTCCAAGGATGGAGGAGCTGGCTGGACTGTTGGCCAGCACTGCCAGGAGCTGAATCTTGACTACTCCTTGAGACACGCGGGCAGCGCAGAAGACAGGACTGTGGCCACGTCAGCAACCACCTGTGCTGTTCTCCTCCACATGGTCACCCAGCAAATCTCGCTGCAGACCAAGAGCTGGTACATGCCTGTACAGTTGCTGGAACCATTGGCTTGCAAAGATCTGCTCTCTGCAATGTAAAAATATACTCTGAGAGAATACTGAACCAAAACAATAAGGCAGCAGCTGTTTTCCATGGGAACGAATCCCAAAGGAATGCAATGGCTACGGCTCCCCCTCCCCAAGCTTAAACAGTGATGCGCAGCATGACAGGATGCGGTGGAGAGCTGCTTCTTATGTTTGCAAAGGCTCCTTTGTGACAGCTGGGTGAATACTGCAGCCGCTGCGAGCAACTGTTGGAACTGGGAGGGCAGAAATGTGGACTTGGAAAACAAAAAACAAAGACCCGAACATGCTGTTCCCATCCTGGTGGTTTCCCTCTGTACCATTACCGTACATACATTCAACACAGATGCTTATCATAATGATGGGCTTCCCTTTATAATCATCCAAGAGTCTCGCAACCTCTACAGTGTCTCTTTGTCAAGAGTCATGCAACACTTGAGCGAGATCATTCAGCAAAGATATCCAGTTTTGAGAAAAGGCTATACTGGCATGTGGATCTTAAAGAGTGCCCAAGTACCCACAGACTTTTGTTAGCATCTTGATCCTTCAGCTGCTCCTTTATATGCAGGAATTCCAATATCTTGAGCACTGACTGAAACCATGGCTGCAAACATGTTTAGGGGAAAGCCGTAACAATTAAGCAGCAGCAGCTAAGAAAACATTCAGTGCATTAAAAAAACAAAACAAAAAAGTACATCAATCATCTTAGCCATGAATTTAATCCCACAGATGAGCAGAAAACTGTAGCTCCCCTCCCATTTCTGCCTTGTTTCTCTCCTGCCCATTTTACCAGCCTTCAATTTTTTCAGCCTGATTTTCAGGCTGCACTTCTCTGGCATCTCCATTTCATAGCAGAATGCAATGTGAACAAACCAGTTTGTTCTGAGTATAGACATCATTACAAGCCATAGTTTGAATGAGACAGCCTTCATAAGCCAACAAAAAATGGCTCCTATTGGTGGTTTGTAGCATGTTAACAAACCGTAGTTTGCTTGCAAGGACGAGTTCAGTTGCAACAACAAGGCATATTTCAACAAACTACAAGAAAACAATGTGAAACAGACCAATGCAAGCAGTCAGCTTCTGGGGTTCACAATTCCTTGATGATGATGTTGATTTATTTCATTTCTAAACTGCTCCACAACCAAAGTTCTCTGGACAGTTAACAAAAGTCCATAAAATAGATAATCAAATTCAATAAATATATACAGTCAAAAATACATTAAAAGTTTAAAACAGCTAAAACCAAATAACAAAGAAAGAATAGTTAAAACATTTGGGATGGGCCCTGGGTATCCAGATAAGTCTTTAAAAGCCTCAGCATAGAAGGGCAACCTAACCTGGCAAAGATGACAAATTTGGTGCCAGTCGGGCCACAGTGGTGAGGCTGTTCCATAAGCGGGGGGCCGTCACAGAGAAAGCCCTCCCCTTGTTGCCACCTTGCACACTCCCCTCGGAGTAGGCACTTGGAGGAAGGGCCTTGAGGCTGAGTGTAGTGTCTGAGAAGACTGCAGCTGGGAGAGGTGTTCCGAGAGTTATCGTGGTTCTAAGCAGCCTTAGGCTTCATGGGTTAAAACCAGCACCTTGAATTGAGAGCAGAAGCACACAGGCAGCCAGTGGAAATGGACCAGAACTAGTCTTATGTGATGCCTCTCTAACATCATATGTAAACTATTTCACTTCATAGTATAATGGCAACGTATCTTCCAGTGACAACTTAGTAAACTGTCTAAAAGATGAACTGCTCACTAATCGAGCAGCACATTTGGCATGGGCCTTTTCAGGTTACTAACTGGACTAAATTTATTCCATAATTCTGCAATTCCACCATAGAAGATTAGGAGTGGATATCAGCTATGAAAGTCAACATACTCAGAATCTCAACTTAATAACAAGACAGTGGTGTTGGTAGGTGGTTCCTCTGACTGGAGAGAAGGTGCTCATCCCTTCCTGATGGGGATGCACTCCCACTGAAGGAGCAGGCCCCAGCTTGGCGGTGCTCCTTGATCCTCCTTTGTCACTTGATGTCCAGTTAGTTCTAAGTGGCATGGAGTGCATTCCACCAGCTTCAATCCTATTTGGGCGAGGATAGCCTGGCTTCTGCAATCTGTGCTCTAGTAACCTGCTAACTAGATTATTGCCAAGATTTCTACATGGGGCTGCCTTTGAAGACAGACTGGAAGCTGCAGCTTGTACAAATGGTGGCCAGACTGAAAACCAGGATCAGATGGTCCAAACATATAATTCCAGTTCTGTCCCATTTGCATTGGCTGCCAAGATCCTTCTGACCATGATTTAAGATGCTGGTTTTAGCATATAAAGTTCTACATGGTTTGCAACCACAATACGTGATGGAACACCTCTTCCATCCACAATGTACCTGGACATTACAGCCAACATCTGAGGATTTCCTCCAAATGTCAAAGGCAAGCTTGGCCAGTGGCAACAAGAAGGGCCTTCTCTGTGATAGCTCCCAAATTATGGAGTGATTTCCCCACCAAGGCCTGCCTGGCACCAACCATACTGTCTTTTTAGCTCCACATTAAGACTGACTTCTTGGCTGAGGCACGTACCAACTGCAAAGAACACAAGGGAGAGAGGCATATTGCCAGATAGCAGTATGGATTGGTTTTAGTTGTTAAAACGTGGTTTTAATTTTTGATTCTTTTATTTTATATTGTGCCATATTGTATTTGTTAACTGTTGTTCACTGCCCACAAAGCTTCAGCTATTGGGTGGTATATAAATAAAATAAATACTAATAGAAGAAGGCTTCTAGCTGTCAAGAAAGGCTTGGAAGCTTATCTGAATATACATATTCTATACTGAAGCGGTATAGAATTTGGCTTGTTATGGTGCATACTCTGGGAAGAAGGGGCAGACAGACAGAAAAGTAAACACTTGCTTGATAAACTGGCTGCACTTCTTGGTCCAGAATAAGCAAATGCACCACTAGATATGAAAGCATTTGCTTCACCTTTTTGGAAGCAAGCACTGATCAGCAAACTCAGAGAGACTTTTGCAACAGTTAGGATCGATGTCCTTGAAAGGCCGACCAAGAGAGCTTACCTCGTGCATCCAGGTGCTAAATGGCCTCTGCCAGGAGTCCTTTTTCTCCAAATGCATGTATGCATTGAACAGGATGAGATAGATGTAGCGTTCCAAGTACTGCAGGCTCCTCAGCTGCAATGTCTGCAAGTCCTTCTCCTCTTTAGCGGTCTTCCCCTGAAATTGAGGATTGTAACTTGAGTGCTGGTGTTGGCCAGCAGCGTTGCCCTGCAAGTCTCAAACTATGCAGGCTTCCTTGCATGTTATCAATGCAATATCAAAGGTATCTGCACAGAACTGTAACCACTAGAGCCTCTTCTGTATAAGGTCTCTGGTGGCAGGGCTACGTCCTGCGCACTGAGATTTGTACTGGAAGCTGCTGACCAAATGGGAGGAGCTCAAGTTGTAGAGCCTTTGTATTAAAAGTGGGAAGAGGCCATGGGCATGCTCTGCAGGAAAACACTTTTATCCATAAAACAAAACACTGATCAGAAGAGTAATCAAAAGTGTGAAGAGGAGCATAGCAATAAATGTCACATATAAAGTTGTGCTCTGAAGACGTAATGCACAAAACAAGAGCTTTGCTGCATCAGACCGATGGCTCATCTAGTCCTCGCACAGTGGCCAAACATCTGTCCATAGGATCCTACAAGCAGGAAATGAGCGCAACAGCTCCATGTTCCCATGTGCCACGTTCCCAACAACTGGTACATAGGCATACTGCCTCTGCTACTGGAACCCATCAGGACGAGTAGCCATCGACAGCCTTTTCCTCTATCGTTTGTCCAATCCCCTTTTCAAGCCAAAATGGTAGCTTTCACATCTTGGGGAAATAAATTTTATAATTTATCTATGTGCTATATAAAGAACTACTTCCTTTTATCTGTCCTGAATCTCCCACCAATTAGCTTCATGGGATGATGCTGGTTCCTAGACCTAAGGGGGGGGGGTCTCCCTTTCTGCTATCTCCTCACCGTGCATACATGTATCTTGTATCATGTCTCCTCTCACTCACCTTTCTTCTAAGCTAAACCACCTCAGCGGCTGTAACCTTTCCTCCCTCATAGGGGAGTTGTTTCAGCTCTTTGATCAGTTTAACTGCCCCTTTTCTGCACTTTGTCCATCTCTACAATATCCCTTTTAGGTGCAGCAACAGAACCGTATGCAAAAGTACAACCATCGATTTGTTTACATGCACCATGATGCTGGCAAGAGGCCTCACATGGAGTTTAGGACAGTGCTTTGTCGCAGCAGCTGCACCCTGGGATGGCATTTGCGTTGACCTGTTTACCACAGCCGCAAGATCCTTTTCTGGATCAGTGACTGCCAGATCAGATCTTTTGCTCCAACATGTACTTCTTTACGCTTGCTTGCAGCGAGCCACATTTCCCTTTCCGATGCCAAGTTGGAGAGGTAATCTCAGAGTTCTTCATAACCCCGTTCAGCTAACCACCCTAAATAGTTTGGCGTCATCAACAAACTTGGCCACTTCATTGCTCACTCCTATTTCCAAATACTTTATGAGTAAGTTGAAAACCACTGGTCCTGATATAGATTATTATGGGACACAAGTGTTTATATCCCTGCAGTGGGAGACATGACCATTCATTCCCACATACTGCTTTCTGCTCTTTAACTAGTTATTGATCCATTGGAGGATCGCCTCCAATCCGTCCATCACTGTTAAATTTGCTTCGGAAACTTTGATGAGGGTCATCGTCAAAACTTTTTGGAAGTCACAGTAAACAATACCTACTGGATCAACCCTGTCCACTTTCTTACTGACACTCTCAAAGAACTCTAAAAGTTAGTAAGACAAGCTCTACCTTTGTGGAAGCCATGTTGATTATTTTCAGCAGAATTAACTGCATGCTTGTCTATATGCTTACTAATAAAACTTTTAACCAATTCACCTGAAACAGACATCAAGCTAACCAGTCTGTAATTCCCTGGAGCCCCTTGGATCCCCTTTTAAGAACTGGTGTTACCCTACCCATTCTCCAATTTGCTTATATAGAGGCTGATCTTTGGGACATGTTATGTATTTTCTGGGAAAGACAATGGAAAGGCTCATAATAGGCAGAGATCTAGTAACCCTAGATAGGGAAGGGAGGTTGGCGGCCACGCAACACGGCTTCCGCAAAAACAGGTCCTGCCAGATAAACCTTGTGGAATTCTATGACAAGGTTTTGAGGTGGCTAGACAGAGGGGACGTGATGGATATGGTTTATGTGGATTTCAGCAAGGCCTTTAAGAGAGTGGTGCAGAGTGGTGGAAAAATTGAGGAGTTCTGGGATAGACCGATGCACTGTCCAATGGATTAGGGCATGGCTGACAGACCAAAAGCAGAGGGAACCATTAGTGGGGAATCATCGGGATGGCAGCCAGTGACAAACAGGGTCCCCAGGACTCTGTCCTAGGACTGATCTTTTCAATCTTTTCATCAATGACCCGGAAGAGGGAGTGACCAGTCTGCTGATCAAATTCACAGGTGATGGCTTCTAGATCAAGAGAGGTATTACTGCCAGTCTATACTACTCTGGTGTGCCTGCAACTGGAGTACTGTGCTCAGTTTTGGGCTCCACATTCCAGGAAGGATAAAGCCAGCTTGGAATCAGTGGCTAATCACAAGGATAGTGGCTGGATTGCAAGGGAAGCTGCAAGAGGTGAGACTGAGGGAGCTGGGTCTTTTCAGCCTTGAGAAGAGGAGACTGGGGGGATCTGTTGGCTGTGAGGGGATGTTACATGGAGATGGGTAGAGGCCTGTTCTCCCCTGCAGAGGAAGGCAGGACGCGCTCCAACGGAGCAAAGCTCAGGGAGCCAAGGTTCCATTTGGATGCCAGGAAGCACTTCCTGACAGTTAGGACCCCGAGGGTGTGGAATGGGCTTCCACGGGAGGTCGTTGAGGCCCCATCGGTGAGGGTGTTCAAGGACAGGCTGGACATGCACATGGTAGGCAAGTCATGAACAGAGCCGGCTGCAGCCAGGGGTCAGACTAGATGGCTGAAGAGACCCCTTCTGACACACTCTATTTTCTATACTTCTATATTTTTGTAAGAAAGTCAGCAGTTTTATATTTGAGTTCCTTAAGAACTCTAGGATGGAAACTGTCTGGGCCTGATGATTAATTCACTTTCCATTTGACTACGTCTTTTTTCTCACAACTATTTGTCTCAGTTCCTTGGATAATTCTTCCTGAAAACATCAGTATCTGTCCTGTATCTTCTGCCATAAAGACAGATTAAAAGAATTTGTTCAGCTTCTCTTCTTATCCTCCTTTAGCACTCCTTGAAGTCCATTATCCTCCAATGGTCCAGCTACCTCTCTAGCTGGCTCCTTCCTTCTGATACATTTAAAGGATTCTGCATGGTTGGTCTTGACATGGATGGCAATACACTCTTCAAAATGATTTTTAACGCATCGCTTATCATTTGCTCATATCTCCCTTGTGCACACTTGTGCTCACATTTGTTTTCCTCCTTCAGGCAATTCTGCACGAGTCAAAAGAGCCCTCTTTCAGGCAGAACTGCACAAGAAACATTTGTTTGCTTGGATATCGTCATTCCTGAAACGCAAACTGAAAGCTGCACCCCATGGACTAGGCCAGGGTTTCCTTAGAAGGAAGCTGGATTCAGCCTCTCTAAAACTTGCCACCCAAAAGTCTGTTTCACATCATTTCAGGAATAGGATGGCCCTGCCAATACAGTTATTTTTAGTCAGAGCTAATTGTTGCCACTTTAGATCCCCAAGGAATGCTTAGACCTCTTTTGAGAAAGCAGCAGACAGACTCAATATGGTTGGCCTCCATGCATGAAACGTAAGTTGGAAAGGCTCACTGCATGCACTGGTATCACAGAATGGGATTACTTATGAACAAAGATTTATCAATAACTACCTCCCAAAACTCTCTCTCTAATCTTGGATTGATAGCTCCTCTATCCGAACAAGCTACCTGTATTAAAAAGTGATTTACCAGACTTCTCTGTGTAGAAATGGTCCCAATCCAGAATAATGGCCTGATTTTCTGAGGCATCTCCATGCCAGAATTATACCTGGAAGCTACTGAAGGGAACCATTCCTGCAATTAGGGTGATCTTGCAAGAGTCCTCCCCCACCCCACCTCACCCCCCAGCGTGCGTGTGCACACACACACACAGCCTGTAGGATTTTGGAATCCTTTCACACACTGTACGAAAATATCCCTTGAAGCTGCCTCCAGTAGTCAACTTGGAACAGGGGTGCAAAGATCAGAACTGGGGTGCTAATCCTCAGCCTCAGAAGGTTGGGGTACCAATTGGCCCTGCCACCATTCTCCCAATTGCACATCAGTTGGCCATTTCCCAGCTTTTCTGAAGTGCTTTCCACATTTAAAAGCCTGAAATACCTCAATGAAGGCTTAGTTATGAGCAGGAAGTACTTTAAGCTAAGATATGCTGTTACTTTGGGGAAGGGAGATTACCTTTACTCTGATTGCATTTGGCCCTAACTCTGGTCCCGAGTGTGGCCCCAAGAGCATTCTGCAGTGGAATCTGTCTTGTGGGCTGAAAGACACCCTGACTCAGAATTAAGCACATCTTGTGCTGGGAGAACTAACAGCTCCTGGACAGTGGCTAAAAGAACACATTTAAACTTGGCAATTCAGGCTCTCATTAAACTGTGGCATATGCTAAAGCACTCCTCATTTAAACTGAGAAGACCCCCAAAATAGAAAAAAATATTGTTGTGTTTACCTACTTGCATATACACAATCGCAATGCAAAAGAAAAAAAAGGGCTAGGAATAGGCTCTCTCTGAGATTTCAGGCTATAAACTGTACCATTGTTTTATATAGCACTTCTATTTCTGAAAGTCTGTAGCAACCAAGAATTATCCCCCTCCTATCTCCTGTCCCTACCTTGACCTCAGTTGAGTCATGACCACACAGGAGCAGTCACTGATATAGACATTTTGAGGTGTATTTGGGTCTTTCTTCATAGTTTCTGGCTGAAGGCTAGCAGGCACCATCCTCCAGTTCAAGCTGATCTCAAAGTAACCATTTCGCTATAAGTAGAAATTAGTAGTTAACGTTTTATAGAACAGAAACACCACAAAAACAGGGAGAGGAAGAACCTGAGGGCTTGAGAAAACTAGCATAGCAAGCCTGCAATCCTGGTATACACACTTCCCTGGGAGTGTGT